CCCCTGCGCACACATACAGATAGACAGAGAGAAAGAGAGAGACCCATACACCTTCAACACGGCCTGGGAAACTACTTTTTCACAGCAGTGTTTGAGGTGTTGGTAGGGGCAGCAGCAGCAGCAGTAGCAGAAGTGTTGGACGTGCCAACGTCAGCGGCAGCCGCGGAGCGCGACTTGTGTGCCACGAATGGGTTCACGCTGTGCTGCAGGCGGCGCTGGTGCATGTCGGCGAATGTGTGATTCACCACACGGTGCTCAGCTTCGTCGGCGCGAATGACATTGATAAGCTCGCGGAACGTGGCGTCGTTGCTCAGGCCCCAGTACGCCTTCGCCACCTCCGGCACGGCGGTGCGGAGGTCCTTCAGCTTCCCCTCGTCGAGCGCGCGTATGATGCTGGAGTACGTGATGACCGCCTCCTCTTCGAGGTAACCGACAAAGCGATGCACGAAGCGCGGCGAGATTATGTACGCGCAAAGGAGAAAGTTGAACATGATCCCCTGCGCAGCGAGGATGGCAAAGCGGAAGAGGTAACCCGGCTGGCGTATCTCAATGAACGTCATGAGGTGCATCCGCTCGTTCTCCGCCTCGTTGAGCAGCGTGGTGATCCAGCCGTTATCGCGGCGCATGCGGCGCAGCGAGTTCATGTGGCGCAGCATCCCCGCCACCATCCCCGGCACGCCGGNCCAGCCGTTATCGCGGCGCATGCGGCGCAGCGAGTTCATGTGGCGCAGCATCCCCGCCACCATCCCCGGCACGCCGGCCACCGTCTCGAGGAATAGGCAGCGCGTGATAACCTTCTGCTCTGTCATGGGACCGAATCGGTACAGCGAGAAGGTGTCGAAAGACCAGCGGCAGGCCCGCACCGCCAAGTATGCGAGGCGGTCGACGAAGCCATCCGTCGGCTTGTGTGTGACCTTCACTCTCTCCACGTCCGAGATCGACCAGTGTGGTCGGTCCGTGCTGCACTCCTCCACCACTCGCACCGGGGCTTGCTGCACCTCGTCTACGAACGTGAGGCGGTTGACGTGTGCGCTTCCCCACTGAGGCGCTTGGTTCTGCGGGATAGTTGTCTGCAGGCGGGCGGAGAGAGACAGCACCCCGGATGCGGCTCCCAAGGGGATCAGTGACATGCGGCGGCAAAACATTTTTATCTTTTACTCCGCTTATTTTCGGTTAATTGTCTTTCCGTTTTTATTTTCTTGGCTGTGACTTTAAAGCTGATGAGTTAGCTTGAGACTGTCGTATATCTTCACACAAGAGCAACGATGATGAATAGGAATAACGACAAAGATAGAGCGAGTAAAGTAGAGATAGGGAGCATGGATGTCTAACTTCCGAATATACCTCCACACCACTGCCTTTCTTCAAGAAGTAGGAAGCAATCCCCTCCCCCACGCCGTCATTTGAGTTTCTTCCTCCCCCTGTTTCTCTCTCTCTCTCTCTCTCTCTTCGTGTGCGTGTGTGTCTTCATACGCACGTGCATGTAGCAACCAGTGACAGGCAGAACCAACCCTTGGCANACCACTGCCTTTCTTCAAGAAGTAGGAAGCAATCCCCTCCCCCACGCCGTCATTTGAGTTTCTTCCTCCCCCTGTTTCTCTCTCTCTCTTCGTGTGCGTGTGTGTCTTCATACGCACGTGCATGTAGCAACCAGTGACAGGCAGAACCAACCCTTGGCAGCGACGGTGATGTATCAAAGGGGCCGGAAGTTCTTGTTCAGCCTATCCTGCCTGTAGTCAGGAAAGCGCGGCGTCCCGCGGCTCAACACCGGGTGCTGCCGCTGCGGATCACTTGCACGGTACGGCCGTGTGGGATGACAGAAGAGCGAACTCTTGAAGGTGTCGATAAGTGACTGCTTCGCGTATTCGTTAAGCTTCGGCGGAATTAGCTGCTGCGTCTGCCGAAGATGCGCCACGAGCGGCTTCGCCAGCCGCACATTTTCCGGCTGGAAGAAGGTGTAGCAGTAGCCATGCATCCCGTGCCGACCGCAGCGACCGCTACGGTGCATCCACACGTCGAAGTCTGTCGGCACATCGTAGTGCACAACGTACACGACGTTGTGGAAGTCGATGCCACGACTGAGGATGTCTGTGCACACCAGACATGTAGAGGCGCCGCTCTGGAAGAGTTTCATCGTGCCCGCTTTCGCCGTTGCGGAGGCACGCGCCGTAAGCGTCGTCACGTGCAGCCCCGGCACAAGGCGCTGTAGCTGTTCACAGACGTATGCCACGTTATGGCGCGAGTTGCAGAATATAAGCGTGCGCTGCTCGATGCTCAGCTTGCCAGTGCTGTACAACCACGCCAGCTTGCTCATCTTCTCCACCTGCGAGATCATAAACACCACATGTGTGATGCCTGCACTAGCAGTTGTGTGACCAACAAGAAGCGGGTGCCCAAGCCGGTCCGTCTTGACATCCGCTAGCACAAAGCGGTGCGACGGCAGCAGCATCTGCTCCTTAATCATCTGATACGCCACGGGTGGCAACGAGGCGCCGAACAACAGCCGCTGCGGCCGTTGGTGGCCCTTCGGAAGCGCCCCGAGGATGATCTTCACCTTCTCGAAGTGGTTCACAGACACCAGGTCGTCTACCTCATCCAACACGAGCGTCCGTAAACGCTTCAGCGACAATTTACGCTTGTAGAGAGCCGGTAACATCGTCTCCGGCGTTGTGATGAGCACGTCACAACCCTCCAGCGCTCTCAGGTGGCGCTTCTGCTCCTCCGCACTAGAGGCCCGCACGAGGTAGCGCACACGAAAGTCAGCATGCAGATTGTGACACAGCTGATACACCTGCACCACCAGCTGGGACGTGGGCACGAGGATCAAAAGCAGCGGCTCCGCCACAGAGGCCAGTTCACTGAGTCGCGTGGCCGGCAGCGGCTTCTCGTCCGTCGGCTCAGGAATGGGCGGGTGCGGTGTGCCCGTCATTGGGCAGACTCTCACCTCGGCAACGCTGAGCTCACAGTAGCGGCACACCTCGCCCCTCGTGATCTTATCTCGCAGCAGCAGCTCGACATTTGACCGGCTCAACTCATCATCACCGCTGCTTCTGCCGTTGGGATTGGCACCGTCACGACCGGCTGCGGTCTGAAGAAGGCTCAACATGGAGGGAAACACGTAGCAGAATGTCTTGCCGGTTGCAGTCGGTGCGATGCAGAGGACATCACGGGACTCCAACACCAGGGGAATGACGACGCGCTGCACTGATGTCATTTCGCTCCAGCGTCGTGAGGCACACAGATTCTGCAGCTGCTCACGCAGTGTGTCACTGGGGCATAATGCACCCAACTCTTCAAAGGACTGCGGCGCGCCAGGCGGGAGTTCAGCGGGCATGCCGTATCGGTCAGAAATCTGCACTGTGTAAGGCGAATTCCCGCTGCTGCTGGTGTTCCCGTCGTTGTTGGTATCACTGCTGGTGTGGTCGCCCTCAACCACCCCATGCTTCCTCTCACCAGCGGTGGCATCCCTCAGCAGTTGCTGTAAATCCACACGAGAGACCTCCTTGGAGCCCTTTACACCATCCACGTGGGAGTGAGAGGTGCACTCGGCACTGCCCATTACATCAATCAGTTCCAATGGCTCGCGCCGCGAGGCATCCGTGTAGCTGCTGGTGGTGCAGCGACAGCACTGCAGGTGAACGCGCCGAGGTATGCTTGAAAACACAAACGACACCCGCCGCCGCCACACCAGGCGATGCATCCCCTTTTCCTTCCCTTTTCTATACATAAATACAAACCAAACGAAAAGACAGGCGGTATATATATATATACATTTATATATATCTCTCTCCCTGTGAACACATATGAGTATCAGAATTCATTGAGCAATGTACACATACATTGCGCAAGACCCATCCTCTTTCTCTCTCTCTCGGCTTGCTTATCGCCAACTCAACGCCGTGCCAAGACCAAGCCGCTGCTTCAGTGAGTCATACGCCTCGAGTTTCTGCGATAGCGTAGCGTCATTCCCAAGAGCGTTCTTCGCCGGCTGTTGCTGATGCCCCACAGTGGTGCTGGTCACGAGCGGCACACCCTCTGCCTCGTGCACCTGCAGCAGCGTGCGCACGTAGACCGACACGTCGTCGAAGGGTACAACGTGCCACGCACCGGCCTGGTGAAGGGCGAGCAGCATCCGCCGCTCCACATCCGTCACACGCCGGCGCAGCTGCGTTGAGGAGACGGTTCTTGGTGTTGCGGTGACGCTCTGCTGCGGCGCTGCATCCTCCACGTAATTTTGCAGGGTTCCCAGGGGCACACGCACCTTCACCGGCTCAGTCTCTATGGCCGGCTGCGTCGCGTAGAGAAAAAAGACAAGACACATGCCGAACACACGGCCATGTGGGCTTGCCTCAGGCGGGAGCGACAGGTACGCAGCCGCTAACTGCAGCACGCTCTCCACAACGTCGCGGTGGTAGGGGCGCGTGGGGCTGGAGCCGGCATAGTGCAGGTACTCTGTGTGAGTCTGGTCAAACACGGCCTGAAATGCGTCAACAGTCAGGCCGTGCGGCGTCAACAGGTGACGCTTCATCACCTCGCGGTAGAGCGCCGCAAAATCGGCCGCGAGGAGAGCCAGTCGCTGTTCCATAAATTGAACACAGCTGCTGCTGCTGTTGGCGGCTGCGCTAACGGAAAATAGGGCGAAGCAAAAACAAGAAACGATCACGACAGCAAAACCCCTCACCACCCCTCATGAAATGCGGAGCTGGAAGTAAGCAAGAAAGGAGCGCCCGCTTACAGTGATCAACAGTGTGGATTAGGGTCTGCGCGGCTCTCACACATCTGGGCAGCCCCGCTTATCACGTGTAGGAAAAAAAAACAAATAAATGTCGCTTTCCCGCTCCCCACCACGGCCTTCTAAACCTCTCACACCTCGCTCTCTCTCTCTCTCTCTGTGTGCGTGTGTGTTTTTCTCCGTCGCCCACTTCCTCTCTCTCTCTCTCTCTGTCATTTCCCCCTCTTACCGTTACAACCATGAACAAGCAAAGGCGCATCAAGGTGCAAACAACTGCTCAATGGCAGTCAACTCCTCAATGAGTCGCTTGCCCACTTGCCGCCTCCACCGGCGCACCCACATCGTGAGCACCTGCACCTGCCGCCGCAGCTGCGCGGCCTCACCCGTCTGCCCCGCCGCCCTACACGCCTCCGCGAGCTGCAGAGACTTCCGCGCCGCCAGCAGAACGATGGGCGGTGTGGCCGTCTCGACGCACTCCGACACGGCGCCAAACGCCTCCGCACAGCGGTCAATGTCGTCGGTGCTGGTGGGGATGAACGGGAGGCTGCAGAAGCACCGCAGCGCCACCTCCGACTCGCCACGCGCGGCGCTGACGAACACCTCGCCCATCTTGCACAGAAGCTGGAACGCTTCAGCGTGCGCGTGCGGGATGTCGTGCGTCGAGCGGGCCACGCGCTGCTGCAGTTCGGCGGCGTGCACGAAGAGGTTCGTGCTTTCACTAGATGGCTGCTGCTGAAAGGCCTGCGACAATGCGGGGCAGATCACTTGAACCGCGCGACTCAGCGCGTAGCTCGCGCGTGTCTCATCCCTCACCAGCGCCGCAGCACTCTCCAGCATGGAGAAGACGTGCACGGCGAGTTCCGTCTGCCCACGCGCCGCACCCCCTTCGGCGATACGCTCCATAGCACTAAGCAGCTCCGTCGACGGCGTTCCCTGCAGCAGCACCCCGTCGCTGCCGAAGCGGCTGCCACCACGCTGCCCCAGCAACTTCGCACACACCAACTCGTTGCTGCAGTAGTCAACAAAAGCATTAATGAGGTTGGTGCGGAGGAAGTAGCGGAAGACGGCGGCACCAGAGCGGGCAATGCGGGCGTTCCGCTTGTCCGCATCAAGCAGCACGAGTGTGCAATACTGCGGGATGAGGCGGCTGAGATCCATCGGCACTTCAGCATCGCTGCACGAGAGCAGCTGGCAGTTGTGGAAGCACATGGCAATGTGAATGCCGTCCACATACGTGGAGTCATCCTCAATCAAAAGCCGAAGCCCTGACGATGGCAGCACTGCGTGTATCAGCAGTGACGCCAACCGAACCGTGTCACCGCGGGCTAAGGTAACGAGTTCTTGCATGTCATCCAGGAGCAGCCGCTGCATCTCCGCAAGCGCCTGAAGCTTGTCGCCACCCCGCACATCGACAGACCGCACACAAAAGAGACGGATCCACAGTGTGTCTTCCAGTGAAGACGCCACTTTCGCCGAAAGTGACGCCACTATCGGCAGCACCACATCACCGCTCTCCCCCGTGCTCCCGAGGAGCAATAGCAACAGGACCATGTGTCGGTACGGGTCCGCACGCGTGGCCTCCTCTTCATACAAAGGACGCAAGTCAACTGCCGGCGGCAACGCGTTGCGCTGCGTCATGTGCGCATTGGCGTAGGCCTCGAGTTTCTCACCTACCAACCGGAATCCCGCGCTGTTCGCAATAGTGGCAGCGGCGTCGTAGCGGCCGCAGCGCATGGCAGTGTAGATGCTCGCCCACGGATTTGATGACGAAACACAGCGCTCGACGAGGCTGACGAAGCGCGTGGCGTGCATATTCTCCAGCTCACCAAGGCGGTCAGGCTCCACCTTCAGGGTGCGTGACAGCACGCTGACGAGAGCCTTGCGCTCCATCATGCGCCGGCTAGACGCGACGAACGTCATGGTCGTACTGGCGGAGCCGTGCTGCAGCATCGGGTGGAGGATCTGCTCTACCGTTGTCCAGAGAAGCGCAACCTCGTCAGTGACATGAGGGGCGTCGTCCACGACATGTGCGGTGAAGTGCCCCACCCACTCTGCTGGGGGCTGCGCGTCGACGATCCGCGCAAAGGCGGCGATCTTATTCAACACGCGTGTCGAGGCGGTGTCGCGCCCACTCAACAGCGCCGTTACACCGGCGCGTGGCTGAAGCTGTCCGTCGAGGGCCGGCGACTTCACACGTTGCAACTTCCCGTTGCTTCCGCCCTTCAGTGTGAAGGATTCGAAGGCGTCGGCCACCTCAATGCTGCATTTCTCCCAGGATGCTCTTATGATGGCGCCGGCGCGCTCTTGCACTTGCTCGCCCACACGCTGGTGCATCTCCTCCACGCTGTGCCGAACGATTGTGTGGCGGCAGTTCGTCACGAAGGCTTCTAACGCGCTGCCCAACTCGTCGTCAGCGTGCGCGGGGAAGAGCGAGTCGGCGCT